ACTGGTGGGGTCCACCTATGCCACGAGCTAGGACCATTTGAGACTCCACTGCACTCTAATCAGTCCCACCGGCTGAGCTTGATGCAGGGGAAGGAATCTTGGGTAAGTGTGAGAATCTGTTTTTCATTACTATATTTAAATGTACAGATGCTACCCCGCCCAACTTAGCAGGACACAGGTATCGATTTTTCATGATTTTATTTGTACGAGAAGAGGTCGTAAAACAAATAGGTAGAGTTCGCATCCGCTATTCATACCCTTGTTGGGCGAGACTGGACTGGGGGGTTAGGGGATGGGACAGGACTTGCAGAACAACTTATGTGCATATTGAGGTACCTTGTATCCGCCTGAGAGATCTCAATGAAACTTTCACAGAAAGTCCTCTCCCAGTTTCTAGGAACGGCAGCCTTATTTCTTCCTCCATGATAGGGCACTTTTCCATGCCAGTCTGTGCTGACTTCAGCAGGCACCACTGCAGTAACCAAGCTAGCAGCATACAGGCCCAGGCGGCTCCAGGACACCAGCAGCAGCTATGCATTTTCTGCCTGTGATACCCTTGGGAGCGAGAGATCAGAAAAATCACCAATGCACGTGGAAAACAGTGCCAGTACTCGGTGACATGTCCATGTACTCAACCCAATGGAAACAGGCAGAAATTGTACTGCTTCATGTGACTGAACAATTCCTTCCTCAGCCATACTGAGACTGGGCATGGGACTGGACAGCAGTGCAGTGTTGAGGTGCTCCAAAGCGGAAATCTCATAAGCATGTCTTATTTAAAATTTTAGGGGAGCAAGGGAAGGAGTTCTGACCCTTAACTTTTGCTTTCTGTTGTTACTATAAATGATAACTCTGTTTTATCTGTAGCTGCTCCTGTTGCTGCTTTGAACACTTGACCATGATAAGGAAGAGAACGAACAGGACTCAGGAGGATATGTTTACCGAGACCTTGCAAGTCACCAAATCACAAACAGAGAGACCTGGATGGTGAATATTTCAGACAATATGGAGAAAGAAAAAGCGTACAGGAGAAAGGCCCAAGAGTCACAGCAGGAAACAGAGAGGGAGCTGTACCAGGACATAATGGGGCTTATCCAGCAGCAAACACAAATGCTACAGACTCTCCCTGTAAAAGCCCTGGCTGGGATGATTTAATTGGGGATCGGTCCTGCTTTGAGCAGGGGGTTGGACTAGATGACCTCCTGAAGTCCCTTCCAACCCTGATATTCTATGATTCTCGTTGACCTACAAGTTCAACAAACACAGGTTCCCCTCCTGTTGCAGTCAATGGAGAAATCCATTTCAACAGCTTCCTACACCCCTCAACATTCCACGTGCCATGATGGGCCACATCTCTATACTTCCCATTTCACATCGGGGTTAGTAAGGACACCACAGCTTCAGATGAACCAACAGTGGCTTTCACAGATCAGTGTATGGTAGCCAAAGTGGGGTAAAATAGACAAATGTTCTTTCCCCTTGTTAAGTTCTGTTCCATTAATTTTTTTCAGAGGTTTTTATTGTATTTTTCAGTTTTGGTATGAACAAATTTTTTTGGAAGTTAACGTGTTATTTCAGGAGATGTGTTGTAGAATGCCTAGCACTACTCAAAACACCCACAACTTGTTTATTGTACAGGGTGACAGCACTCATAGGATCAGTGACAAACACTGTAATAATTGTAAGTGTACACCAAGTACTACACAATCCCTTACAGACCCTGAAACTTCAGGGCCAGGTAGAGCACCAACACACCACATTACTGTGGTTGACTGTTAAAGTGCTCTTTCAATGCATTCCTCAGCCACATAGCTCCGCCTTGAGCTCTTCTAATAGCCCTTGTGTCTGGCTGTTCAAATTCAGATGACTGCCACTTCTCTCTCCATCACAACAGCCATTTTCCCCCATTGTTTCACAGATATTATACAGGACACAACAAGCTAAAGCCATTGGGATATTTTTCCCCACTGAGATCCAATCCTGTAAGTAAACACTGCCACCAGCATCTCTTCAATCTACCAAAAGCACATTCAACTGTCATTCTACACCTGCTGAGCTGGTAGCTGAATTTCTCCTTGGTGCTTTCAAGGTGGCCAGTGTACAGCTTCATTAGCTAGGGGAGCAAGGGGTACGCAGGATTCCCCAGCATCATTATTGGCATTTCAACCTCACCAGTGGTAATCCACTGGTCGGGGGGGGGGGGGAGGGAGTACCTGCTTCAGCTTTCTGAGCAATCCTGTGTTCTTAAAGATGCATGTCATGCACCTTCACTGACAACCCATAACGTTACTGGTGAAGAGTCCCTAGTGATCCACCAACATTTTTATAATCACAGAAAACTAGCCTCTTCCGTTGATGTACTATGTGGCAAAATAAGCTGGGGCCAAAATAGGAATACGCATGCCATCTACCCCCCCGCTGCAGTCCAGGAACTCCACTACTGCAAAGCTATCTACTACATCCTGCTTGTTACCAAGTCACAGGCCTACAAAGCAGATGACAACTAATAGCTCTGCATGACAACAGCCCCCATTGTGGACTGGCAGCAAGCCGGCACTGCAAGCTTCCACAATACGATCACCATTAGTTTCTCAACTGTCAGCGAAACTCTCATTCTGGCATCTGAGCTGGCGGGCTGGTGTGAGCTCAGCACACAGATGCAGGAATGTGGCCTTTTGCATCTGAAAGTTTGGCACCCACTATAATGTAGGTTTGGGACAATGAGTAATATGATCCAACCAATCAGTGCTTGTTTCTTAGACCCAAAAGCATCACTCCACCATCTTCTGCTGCTCAATGAATGCCACCGAAAGCCTTGAATTGGTTTTCACAATGTGTCCCACAGGAAATGGTCCTCCACAAAATTATCAAAAAGAAAAGGAGTACTTGTGGCACCTTAGAGACTAACCAATTTATTTACATGATGATACACTCACTCATCAATTTTACCGTAAACACAGACTTTATATACACACAGAAATATGAAACAATACCTCCTCCCACCCCACTTCCTTGTAATAGCTATCTAAAATATCAAACATTTACACAAACCATTTCACCCTCCACCCCCCCACACAAATTCACTCTCTTACCCATCCAAATACAACTCTTACAAAATCAATCCTATTTCCTCATAGATCAATTTTCTCACATCCCCCCCACCCCCATACACACACAAACTCACTCTCCTTGGTAATACTCATCTAAATGACCACTCTCCAAGTTTAAATCCAAGTTAACCAGAACATCTGGGGGGGGGGGAAAAACAAGAGAAACATACTTCATAATGATTAACTCCCAGTCTCTATTTACTAAATTAATAGTATCCAATTTCAAATGAATTCCAATTCACATTTCTTGAGTATTTAATTTTTTTTTTTAAATACACCTTCATGTTATTTACAAATTATCTGATTTTATATTTATAATTTTACATCTATTTGTGTATTTATTCTTTTAAGAATCCAGTTTGACCAATTACATAGAGGATTTCAATATATATATCAATTGATGAGAATATAGGGTATGTTATTATGATGCTGAATAGATATGGCAATTATTTGTAAATATTAGTTGTTATTATTTTAGTGGGGTTTCCAAATTTGAGAGTATTTTAATAGTAATTTATATTATTTAGTGGTATATGTTGTTATTTTTTTTTATGTTTATAGTAATTTATTTTCTCTATCAATTGTTTCTTCACTTTCATTATTATAATAAGAATTTTAGTTTTTTTATTTATAATAAATATTTAAATGAAAAAAATTTTATATATTTATTAAAAAATTAAAATTTTGGCGCGCTCCCCCAATGCTGTTCTTCCTAAGGCTCTACACATACTGAAGGAGTGTGCGTCCTGTGTTTCCAACACTTATGACCATAGTGCATATCTACATGGGCTCCATGCTTCTGTCAGAGATAGCAGATACTGAAAAATGCTGCAGGGTGTGTGGGATTTTAAAGATGAAAAAATATGGGATATGGATGGCATTATGGGGATTTGATCCCCTTGCTCCCAATCACGATTTGTTCTGCTGCTCCCTCCATTGTCAAAATGTCCCAAAAGCCAATGACCCAAAGAAGGTGATTGGTACACTAGGATACCTACTCACGCTGTATCACACTGTGCATTGACACAAGCAATCCTGGTGAGCATGCGCAGCACTGACACAAGAAGCCAAGTATGCACACGCATGAGTGATACACTAACTGCAGTGGCTTTATGCCAACATACTTTATGTTTGTCTAAGTTTGTAGTGTACACACGGCCATAGTTGTGTACAAGAATTAGTAGTGTTAATATATTAACAATCTGGAAAAGGAGATAAGCAGCAAGGTAGAAAAATTTACTGGTGACAAAAGTTATTTTGAATAATTAAGAACAGATAAGACAAACTTCAGATGGTCTAACAAAGCCAGGTGAGCAGGCAGCACAATGCCTAGCAGTGCAATTCACTGTTACCAAATGCAAGGCAATACACCTTTGAAGTAACATGTTAAACTAGGGGTCTCCATTCCATGTCCTCATCCTACCCCCACCTCTATGCTAGGGGTTCTGACACACCCATGTCAGGAGTTCGGTCTTCCCCCATTAATCTGCCCACTAAGGAGTTCCCAGAATGCAACCTGGACGTAGGACTGCTGAGCTAACTGTCCCACCAACCTGGGGGGTCTCCCTCTCACACTGTGATGCTGTTGGCAAGCTACAAATCACTGGCAGGTACTGCCCTTACACAGACATCCACAGGCAGGGACACATCCAACTGAGTTACATGAACGCTTCTCACAGCCACTAATGAACAATGGAGAGGCTCCAGCCAATTCCCCCCCATCTCCCCAGCCTTGCACCCTAGTATACCGTCTTGCCCTGGTTAGAAGCCTGGCCAGTGTAAGTTCATTACCCAGTCCACCCCTACCTCGATGTGACGAGGACACGCACTAGCCTTTGTAAACTGACCTGAGATTTCCCAAGCACTTTAATCAAAACACGTTAGTTTAGGTAAAATATAAAACAGATTTATTAACTACAGAAAAATAGACTTTAAGTGATTATAGGTAGTAAGCATAACGGTCAAAGTAAGTTACCTAAAAAATAAAACTAAATTTGCAGTCTGAGTTCTATAAATTAAACAGGATTTGAATCAATCAGTATCTCACCCTGATAGATGGTGCAAACAGACTACAGATCTTCAAGGCACAGGCTGGAACTGCCTTCCAGCCCAGGACCACCCTCCCAGTTCAAAATCTTTGTCCTCCAGACATGTTTCCAGGTGTTGAGTTGTGAGGGGAGTGAGAGCAAGTCATGAGGTCACTTCCCCTTCTTTTACAGTTTCTTCCAACTTGCTGGAAAGATCTTTTGATATGAGGTGAGTCAAGCTGTCTCTATTGTATACATGCTCTAAGATGGTTGTTGGGAGAGTGGATTCCCTTCAATGGGCCATCAGTGGGTCTTGCTACTCCACTTTTGTACCTGAAAGGCTAGTTGTGGGTGTTCCCAGCCTCACAACATATTTCAGTAACACACAACAAAATTTCATAACTTCACATACAAAGACAGTACATACAACCCAACAGGAGGATATTAGTGTTCAACAGATCAAGACTTTTAAAATAATACCTCACAAGGCATACTTTGTATGAAACATATCAATTATATGACAGTGGTGAATATGCAGGTTCCAGAGTGCCACTTTCAGGTACAGAGTGCCACACAAGGGTTCTGTGGGCCCCCCAACAACAGTCCCTGATATATTACAATTACGGCCACACAGAGCCTCTGCCACGGTGAGCATGGGGAAAACAAAGGGGCACAGAGCCCCAGGCACAGACTAGAGGGAGCTGCAGGGAGTCCTTGAAATAAAAAGGGGAAGGAGGGAGGCACACAGAGTTTGTGAGGTAGAATGGAGACACACCAGCGGCTCCATACATTGTGGTCAGCCTAGAGAAAGCAACAGAGTATGTGACCCTCTAGTTAAAAACTGCTAGCATTTTAAATCAGAAGAACTTTTCCCTTTTTCAGCTATGTTGTTTCCTAGTAAAACCATAGCAATGTATCTTCACCTTTAAGATATTACAAAATGCTTTAGCACATCCATGAGAACACTAGCTAACTAAAAAGTTTAGTTTTCAGAAACTGCTTTTGGCTTTCCCAGATATGAATTTGTTTATTCAGTTTGTCAAATTAAGATTTCTCCCCTACACCAAAGATTCGTTTAGAGATGTTTAAAAAATAATACCACCTTAATAACTATTGAAAGCTTTATTTAACAATGATAAACCAAGGACTAAAAGGGCATATTTTCACTCTGCAAGACACACATGCCCCAACATTAACTAAACATCTCATTTAGTGATATAGCAATTACTGACAGGAACCAAACGTGATACCTTATACAAAAAAAAAATAAAAATAAAAATAAAACCTATAAGCCTGCACGTGCTACCTTCTTGATCTTGGTCCCTGTACACAGTGCATGTCTCCACAGTTCATCTAACAGGTTGCCCAATACTGAGAATGACGCAGGCAGAGCTGGACTATATACTAGACTAACTGCAAGAAGGCAAAACACATATAGGTGTGCAAGGAAACAATTTGTAAAAGTAAATTTAATTTATTTCTGAAAATTGTTTTTAGTGTCATACAGTGTAAAGTGTTATAAAAATATTTACCTTAGTATTGGTCCAGAAAAAGGACAAAATAACTTAGTTTCCTGCTTCAAAAAACTAGAAGCACTTGCTGCATAATTCTGGGGGGTCCAATTTATAATGCTAAATTGACCTTGCAACTCAGCACTGCAGAAAACTGTGCCTAGCCTGCAGCAAAGCTCTGAAATCCATCCATCAAATATTAACTCTTATCTAGAAAAAGAATGCCAAAACAAGCTTTTTAATACCCTGCCACCCCTAGTTTTTGATAGATTGGCCCAGTGACCCAACAGGACTTTCTTGCCATACTGTATGAGATAGAAAAGGAGTACTTGTGGCACCTTAGAGACTAACCAATTTATTTGAGCATGAGCTTTCGTGAGCTACAGCTCATGCTCAAATAAATTGGTTAGTCTCTAAGGTGCCACAAGTACTCCTTTTCTTTTTGCGAATACAGACTAACACGGCTGTTCCTCTGAAACCTGTATGAGATAGGGAGATGTTTTTCGAGGAAATGGTGACAACATGCTGATTGTTCACATGGTATTCCTTAACCAAAAGGTCAGAGTCCAGTTCACAGTACTTATTTTTAAAGTCCTACATGGGCAGAGGGCCAGCTACTAAGTCCCTCTCCCTCCCTCCCCAACCCCTTCACATTACATTCGGCAATGACACTAAAGCTAATGAAACTCAGATTCAAATTCATGGGTGGGTAGAGCGGAGGGCTGTCAGGAGTAGCAGCCGTGTTAGTCTGTATCTGCAAAAACAACAGGAGTACTTGTGGAGGGCTGATAGTTGCCAAGTCTGCTCTCCACTAGAAAGGAGTTCAGTAACAGTCTTGCCCCATTTAGGACAGATTATAAATTCTGTTCATGCTGGATTTTGCTAAATAATCATGTGTCACTGACAATGGTTGCTTGGAAGTCATCCACTGGGACTGGAACACTAAGTAAGCAGCTTAAACCAGAGGTGGCTTCTTCCTCAGAGGCTGAATTATGCATCTGTTTTTATAAGGTGTCCATACGGTAAAGGACGTTATATATGTGTGCAACAGCTCTTACAGGATTTTTTATTATTAGAGATAGGCATATAACGAGAAGTAAAACTTACATCACATTAAAAAAAAAGTAGAGGTTTCCAATTGTATCTAGCATACACTGAAGGAAACTAACCGTAGCATTAACTCTGTCCAAACTACCAGCTTTAAACTATCTTAAGGAGTATCAGGCCTACTCTAACCTTTTCTGAGAGTTTGCAGTGGAATCCCTAGGCAGTCGGCAGCGTTTTAAACGCAGCAGCAGTTAAACACTGGCAAACTGATCTATTATACTGGCACTCCTACTATTGCTACCACCAGTGGAGCTACACTAGTGGAAATCTAAGAAAAAACATTTAGTATAGATTGAGTTTAAGAACATGCAGCACAATTTACATCCATACCACGAAGATTCTGAACAGTATTTTAAATTTATTACAGAGCAGTATTTGAGACCTGCTGGTGGTTAACCTCAAACATGGTTCCAACTTGGAAGGTTCACTTACACCTAGGATGTCCAGACAGCAAGTATGAAAAATTGGGACAGGGTGTGAGGGGTAATAGGCACCTATATAAGAAAAAGCTCCGAATATTGGGACTGTCCCTATAAAATCGGGACATCTGGACACCCTACTTACACCTCCTCCTCTCCCCAAAAGAGCCATGGTAAATTCATTGACATAGTTCCTAGAAGGGTAATGTACATGGGTTAAACCAGCTTTGAAAGCAGTTTCACTAAGGTCTGGTCTACATTATAAAATTAGGTAGGTTTAACTACATCCATCAGGGATGAGAAAAATCCATACCCAAGTGGAGTAATTAAACTGACCTAAGTCCCCATGTAGACAGCACTCGGTTGACTGAAGAATTCTCCCGTCGACCTGACTACCGCCTCTCGGGGAAGTGGATTACCTATGCTGACGAAAGAACCCCTTCTGTTGGTGTAGATGTCTATACTGAAGCACTCCAGCAGCACTTTAAGGGTAGACCAGCCCTAACCCCTGACTGACTTGGTTAAACTGATCTAATTTTCTAGTGGAGACCAGGCCTAAACATAGTTTAACCGTTAAAAATACTTTTTTTCTTCACTACCCTAGAATGAGACCCTTCCCTCCAGATCCTAAGCAATACATTTCTCAAACAACTTCTACCGTGAGACTGAACAAAGCTTTAGAAAAAATAATATGGTAAGTATATTATAAATTACAAACATATTAGCAAGAATAGTAAAATTTAAGGGCACTGTTAAACTAACTTACACTCCCAATTTGGATTTGGGAGGGAAAATACACAAAGGTTGGAATATTCAAAGCCAATTAGGGGATTTAGTCATAACTCCGATTCATTTCGGTGGAAGGTGAGCAGCTAAGGAGCGGGTTTGGAAGTTTTACCTGGAGGATCTGACACCCAATATTAGCATTGATTGTTCCCTTTACAGCACTGTGAAGTCACAACTAAAACGAAACAAACGTGACGCCAACCAGCACAGCTTCACTGTCCAAAGTTGAATGGGGGGTGGGGGGGGCGGGGGAGCCCTCATTGAGGAACGCTAGACATGGAACATATTAACAGCTTCTTAAAACAACTGAAAGAAACAGGGACAAGGGGTTTTCAACAACATTCACTTTACAATTTTCTCAACACAACCCGCCCCACCCTTCTTTGGGATCCCTCAAAACACCAGCGTTATAGGTGGCAAGAGGATTTTTTTTTAAGAGCAAGGCGAGCCAGGCAGCAGCATCTCCCCTTTGCTGCCACACCACCAGGCGAGTCGCTCTCCAAACGCGAGGTTTTTTCTCAGTACGCCCCAAGTGAGACTCTGCCGCTGAGCGCTTGGCAACTGCCCGTGCGCAGCCAGCGGGCCCCGCGGTACCACTGACCCTCTCGGGCCTCAGGCCCCCACAAACCTGCTGCGGGCGCCGCCAACGCCCGCCAGCGCCGAGCGTCCCCCGGCGCCGGTTTCACTTTCCAGCTCGCTTCCACTCTCCAGTTCCCGGCAGCCGCCCCCCCCCCGCTTAAAGAGGTCACCACCCCCGCACCCGGGATACCCTGCCAGGCCCGGCCCGGCCCCCAGCCCGCTCGCCCAGCCCCTCCACCGGGCACCCCGGTCTCATGCCACCACCGCGACCACAGGGCAGCCTCCCAGCCCTCCCTGCAGCTCGGGGGAGCCCCGGGGGAAACCCAACCCCTCCACTGGGTATCCCGGCCTCATGCCACCAGCGGGACCCTCCGCCAGCCTCCCCCCGGGGCAGCCCCCCTCCAGTCCCGGCCCCGTGCCGCTCTGCGGCCCCTGCCCAGCCCGACAGGCAGCGGCCGCAGGTCCCGCCGGTGCCGTGCGCGGCGCCCCCCGTGCCCCGCTAGCCCCTGGCCGGGCGTCGTCGGGAGCCCGGTGCCCTGCGCGCCATGCGCCGGCCGAGCCCACGCACGCAGAGGTGACCCCGGCCAGGCCCGCCGCCCCCCTACCTTGTAGGAGTCGGTGGCGAGCAGGATGTTGAACTCTGCGCCTGCCGCTGCACGTTCCATCTTGCCGAGCACGAGCCGCCGCCGCGAGCAGGGACAATCACAAACGGGCTGTGCCGCCGCCGCCGCCTCCCCTCGCTGCCAAGAGCCGCCCTGAGGGGTGGAGCTACTGCTCCACCTCCCCCCCATTAGATTTCGACCTGCGACGGGAGGAGGTGGGGCTATGACGTCACGCAGAGGAGGGCGGGGCCTGCGCGTCCACGCATCCTCGGAGTGAGCGGGGCGGAGTCAGCACTTCACGTTCTCTGTCGTAGGACTCGATCGCCCGGCTGCAGGAAGGAGGCGGAGCCGAGGCGGTGACGCCACAAGGGTAGCCACTCTACTCTCTCTTTCTATTGGCTGGAGTCGGTCCCCTGAGCTGGGCGGCCGGAGAGGGAAAGATGCTCAGTCAGGAGAGCCGGTGACCTAGCGGGGGGGGGGGGGGAGAAGAGAAGGGGTGTTTGCGCATGCGCGCTGGCGCAGAGCTCGCTGCTTTCGATTCTCCGGAGCTGCGGTGGGTGCGGGGAAGTGGCTCAGGCCTGGCCCTGGCCGGTTTCTGCTCAGCCCGCCCCGCCCTTGGCTGCGGGGCCGCGGAAGCCCCGGGCGCTGGGCTGCTCCGGGGTTCCCGCCCACGGCGGGAGGCCGGGCCCCGAGGACAGCTGTTTCGCAGCGGAGGAGTGTCCGGAGCAGGGGTGGGTCCGGATCGTCTGTGGGGCCAGCGCGGCCGAGAGCCCCGCTCTGTAGAGCAGCAGCTCCCCTCAGCGCTGCTGGGAGCCCCGCTGTAGCTGCCGGGCTGGCTGGGGCTTGCCGAAGGGGAGCAGGGCGCGCAGGCCGGCCCGGAATCCCGTCTGAACCCCGCATGAAGAGGGCTCAGGGCTGCCGCAGAAGTTACTGGTCCTCTACGACGGCCTGCAGGAGAAAGTTGTTTGGAGACACTTCGGCTCATCCCTCGTCAAGAATGCCACGGCTCCTGCCCCGCCGCGGGACAGAGCCTACGTGCCTCGGCCCGCCCCCCAGCTACGCCTGGGACACTGCTCCTACTCCGGAGCGGTCCCTGCAGGGTGGTCTCTCTTCCCCAGGGGAGGCATCTGCTGCCACATCTCTCCTGAGCGGTGGGGCTGAGTTCTGCACACACAAGCCTACCACGACCAACTCCTCTGCGCCCCCCTCGCTGGTTTACCTCCTGTGTGGCAAATGCTCTGTAGAGCTCCTTCGTCATGGCAGCCAGGCCAAATTTGCGTGATTGGCCTGCCTGGCATGTGGCGTTCAGAGTTAGCCCAGCTGCCCCTTCTCCAGGAGATAAATCAGGAGCTTTTTGGATGTAAACAGGAGCCTCTTTGACAGAGTGGGAGATGGTCAGTACAAACACCACAGCCAGCACACACACACTAACCCCAAGCTTCACTCTGAAGTCTAGAAAGTCTGAGTCAGTGTGAAGCAATAGGAACACCTACAGGCATGGGTGAGAGGTCGTTTTGTATTGAATATCACCAGATTCAATCTTCACTGGTATTCACTGTCTACTGTTTAGCTTTTAATTTTTTTCCACACACACAACTGTACAAATTACATCTGTTACTCCTGTGGGAATTCTATGCCACTGTGTAATGCAGAATTTTGCAGAAATTAATGTGGGTTCAGAATTTACTTTCCCCTACAGAAATGGGCTGCAGTGGTGCTAGTTACCACTAGGGGCCACTGGACCCAGCAGAGCCCATTTTGCACATAAGACACTGCTGGGGGGAGTGGGAGGGAGCTAGAGCAGGGGTGGGCAAACTTTTTGGCCCGTGGGCCACATCATGGTGTGAAACTGTATGGAGGGCCGGGTAGGGAAGACTGTGCCCCCCAAACAGCATGGCCCCTAGCCCCTATCCACCCCCTTCCACTTCCTGCCCCCTGACTGCCCCCCTCAGAACCCCCAACCCATCTAACCCCCCTGTCCCCTGACTGCCTCCCCACTCCATCCACCCCCCTGACAGGCCCCCCAGGACCCTACCCCCATCTAACCCACCCTGTTCCCCGACCACCCCCAGAACCTCTGCCCCATCCAACCGCTCCCTGTCCCCTGACTGCCCCTGGAACCCCCTACCTGCTGCCGCCCCCTTACCATGCCGCTCAGAGCAGCAGGAGCTTGTAGCCCTGCTGTCCCCGTGGCAGCATCACTGCAGGGAAGAGGGAACAGCAGGGGAGGGGCCGGGGGACTAGCCTCCCCGGCTAGGAGCTCAGGGGCCAGGCAGGACGTTCCCGCGGGCCAGAAGGTGCGGTGCAGGAAACTCTGCAAGCCTGGGACCAAGTATCAGGCTGTTTCTCCCTCTGGATCTCTGGGGGAGGAGGGGGCAGGTGGCTGGGCAAGGGGGAGGGAGGCTCTGTGGCTGGGCTGGGGGGGGTGCAGGTGTCTGGCCCCCAGCTGGGATCTGGGGGTGGGGAAAGGGGGCAGAAAAACAGGAACTGGGTTGTCATAGGGGTTTCTTTAACTCTCTACTCCTGGAGGAATTTTTGTGTGTTTCTGTATTGTTACAGACATACTTGCTGACAGGTATTTTGAAATAAATTACAAAAATAATTGAAACTGTTGTGATTATGTATTGTTGTTTTGACAAAATTTGCAGATTTTTTTTTTTTTTTTGGTGCAGAGTGCCCCCAGGAGTAATCTGTGTGAGAGCATGGGCTTTTAGCCACTAGCTTTTAATATGCAGGAGGCAATGGCCTCCACTTGGGAAGATTCCTCCTCTGCCTTGAACATTAAAATACTAAATGTTACTCTATTCTGTATAGGTTTTCAGTTATATAGGCTTGTCACTCTGAATCCTAGGATGGCTTTAGTCAGTGTAAAGAGGGAGAAACAGCTACAAGCATAGTAGGGAGCCTTTTTTCACTAAAATATCACCACGTTCAGTCACTGTGATTCAGACTATTATTGTCGAATTTTTGGGATCTCAGCCATTTTGACTTTACAAATTACACCCTTACAATGAAATTGTTGTATGCATATTAGTGTAGAGTATGAGGGAGATTACACAGATGGTAGAACTTGGCTGAACTGCTACATCTATACAACAACACAGGCTTTCAGGTACTAGTTATTGAATAATACACACGAACAAAATCCTCCAGAAATACCACCAGCCAAAGCTGACAGTGCTCATCAGAGTACCTGTGGGCCAGCATGCCCAGGGACTATCCAACAAGGCTGTAGGGGAAAATGGTGATCCTTCACCATTGCAGCTGAGTACATAAAGTAAAATTATAGCCCCACCAATTCCTGGTGTATAGGCAAATCCTCACACATGGGAGAACAAATCCTCCATTGAAACAAATGTGAACCAATGCAAAGATATAGTGTACAGCATACATAGTATGACTCTGCTCCAGTGAGTGGGGCGGGGGACAATATGCCTGGAATTAGGTGACAGGTGTAGCAATGTTTGCAGGGAGTGCTGTGTGTGGATGTGGTGCACCATGCATACAGAACGGCTAATTTTGCTTCAGTTCACCAGTGCAAGTTTCAAGTATGCAATTCTCTGGTGTACACAATGAATCATGCTAAGCTGTTGGTCAAAATACCGTTTTGTGGAACCATATGCACCTTGAAGCAGGAGACAGGTATGGCTGTGAGAAGTCCTTTTTGATCCCTGGGGTAAACTGCAACTGAGAAATCCTTGATTTCATTTACACAAACATAAGTTAGGGTAAACCATAGGATGTGCAGAAAGGAGTCCATCATTTAACTATTGACCAGCCTACCAATGAACAGTACAGAAAAAAACAGCTACTCTCTATATAAACAAGTGATTAAAAAAAACAAGCTTTTTCATAAAACAAGGAACTTGTATGAACTAATACCTGGTATAAGTGTTCACCGTCCAATATACGTATCTAAAAGAAAGTTTCACAAATGGTTACTGCTTAAGAAAATGAGCCATAGCAGCTGGAATCTTGGTTTCCACGCTTTACTAATACTATTAAATATGTGAAAAGACTGAGTAAATTACACAAAGTAATCAACTGAGGTAATCAATACATAGATCCTTTTTCTTGTAACATCATGAATTAAATATTTAGGGCCTAATCCTATAGAACTCATGCAAGTACAGTAGTCCTGTTGAATTCCGTAATCACACAATAGGCCTGATTAGCTGAGCATACAACAGCCATTCTTGGCAGTACGTTAAAGGATCTAGTGAACAAACCTGCTATACTTTCTTGGAAGCAAGCTCTGTAGCCAGTTCATATCTGGCAGAAAAGCCTGACCTACTTGTAGCAATCCTGCAACCTATTGTATACAAGGTATTCATGACACCTCCTATACTAGGGAATCCTTTGTCTTCTCACCAAATGGTTTCATATAACTTGATTATTCTTCGTGAGTGTCAATGTTTTGCTTCTGTTTAGAATTAATGAGTGAAAGACATTACTAAACTTAGGGCGTGATTGTCCTCTTGCTTAAATTGGTGTAAATCAGGAATAACTGCACTGAAGTCAATAAAGGTAC